GGAATATCTACTGATCAGTGAAGTGAGGAAGAGGTACCTGGATGGCATGCTTGAGTTCTACTCTGGAATCCACCAGGAGGAGAGGGCCTGTGAGCATTTAATACTGCTGCTGTTCTGCATCTCCCTGTTCCCCTGTGATTGTCATGCAGCCACTGTGGCAGGGCAGACCCGTGGCAGGTGGTCCACCAAGGTCCAGCAGCATTGGTTGCATAGTTGTTCGCCCTGCCCAGGTCTGTTTGTAGTGAGGTTTCCCAGGCAGCAGCAGCTGTGCTGCCCAGATGGCGTGCAGTAGGTGATGAAGATTATGGGCATGTGTTCATCATGGGTCTCATGGGAAGTGTGGTTGGGTGGGGCCACCCAGGCTATGACAGCAGGTGCCGTGTCTGTGAGTGCCTACTCTGCCCCAGTTTCATGGTGGTGGTAGTGGGGCTCACAGAACTTGCCTACAGGGCTCACAAGAGCTCCTGACTTTCCCGCTCTCTTCCCAGCCTGGCAGGGGTAAGTGGGAGGCAGCTGTTCCAAATCTGACCCCCAGGTAGACACAGCAGTCTGGGGCTGGCACCTCAAAATGGTGCCAGTTGTAGTCCCCAGGGTTTGGCAGCCAACTGTGCCTTCTCTCAGCAGCAATGCCACTGCACAGCCTCCAATAAGGTCTCTATATTAGTCCGGAGCCTACTGCTGTGGAGGGTCCCTCCTCTAGTTACAATGTCTGCAGGGGAAGTGTGGAGCCCAGGGGTTCTCTTCTCAGTCCCTTACCCATGTACAGGCACCTTCCCCAGGTACCTGCGATCCTGCTGAGTTGGGTCATCCTACTTCTCTGTCTTTGTCTTTGTGTGCCTCCCATGGCCTCTTTGTTTATTCCCAATGCTCTCTCTTTGGTGATCGATCTGTAAGTGAGTATCTATTTGCCACTTTCAATCCTATCCGTGAGAGTAGCATTGTGCAGGCTGCTTCTAGTCTGCTCCCTTGGCCCCTCACACCTCCCTTATTCTAGGTACTTTACTAACACAGCCTAAGTTTGGTGTGTGTGTGCATGTGCGCGTGTGCATGTGCTAGTCTATACTCATATCAGTGTTGACTCAGCACTTTAAATGGACCAAAGTTCCCCAGTGTTGTCACAGTTGCCACTGTCCTATGGCATCTTCCTTCCATTTCAGTCCATCTTCCCTCCCCCCACCCTGCTATAGTTCCCTTCTACATAGATAACCAGAATTAGCAGTTACTTTTACATGTTTCTGGAGATACTGTTTTCATAAAGATACAAAGGTACTCTGCCAGATACACTGTTTGGCACCTTACTTTTTCCCCTAACTATATTTTGGTGAATGTTTCATATTGGCATATAAAAACTTCCCTCTTTCTTTTTAAGGGTATATAGTACTCAATGGTATCGGTGTCTCATGTGTTTAACCGGTGTTTAACCAATCACTTATCAGTGAATATTCATGTAGCACCTATTTGCTATATTATAATTGAATAACTCTGCATATACCTCATTTTCCATATTTAGTAATCTATCCTATAGATATATTCTTAAGACTAGACTTGCAGGTCCAAAAGGTACATGCATATGAAATTTCATTAAATATTTATATCAACAATTTATACCAAAATTATAGCTATTCATACTTCCACCAGTAATGTATGGGAGTGCCTGTTTGGGAGAATTTCTGAGTTTATTTGTTAATCACAACTACAGTGGGTAGAATTAACCAACTGATATTTTATTTTGTAAAATTGATCTAGGATTGGAGAAATTTTAAGCTCAAGCCAGAGGTTCTCCACCCTGATGATAATTAGATGTTGTATTTTGGAGAGGCAATATGATCTCATGTGTATCTAAATCCATATAATAGTTAGCAACATCGTAATAGAAATAAAATGTGTTTTTAAAACACAAACCTTTGGATGGTTTCATTACTTAATGTAGATTCACACATTTAAATGGGAAGCTAAATTGAATACCATAATCATATTATTTATAAATGTTTGTGTTACAAGTAATTGTGAAGGGGTCATTATTCATTTGTTGCATCAGTCGGATCAAATCTAAAGATCTGTTAATTATAAAAAAATATTTTTTAAGCAATCCCCATCACTGTCTATATAGGGCCTGTCCTCACTTGCAAATGTGATTTCCTCTGCAGAGGTCAGTCTGATTTTGGTCAGAGGAAGCTACTTCTTTCTTGTTCTGTGTGTCAGTGTGGTCTGACAGCAATCCTAGGTCCTGGCCAACGGTCCTGATGTCACGTTATTTTATGCCATGTGCTTCAGTGTATCCTTGAGGTAGCCATGCAACCAGACTCCACTCTGGTGGCTTTCTCCTGATAGCCGTACAGGTAATTGCATTTGCAGCCTGAGGACATCTATTTCCAGCAGATCAGCCCAGTGCCCCTGAATCCTCAAGCACTTAATCAGAGCACTGGAAGAGCGGCCGTCCCCAAGGCCTTGTCACTGGCTCCTGAGTGCTGCATTTCGTAGGGGAAACAGATTAGAGTTCATGGGGCTGGATGTGTCCAGAAAAGGAAAACCTCACCTGCTAACAGGCACCATTGTAGTCTGTGATCACAAACTAATTTTATGATTTTTACTAGACATAAATGTTTGTGCTTAGGTTTAAAAAGAAAAAAATACCTTTTATTTGTTAGAGGCGAATTGTTTTGATCCTTTTCTCTAAGCCAGTGAAATAATAATATGATACTGGTTTAGGTAAATTCCTCACAGTTGAAATATTTTAATTGTGTTTACTGGTCTCCTGGTGTTAGCTGTCGGTTGATCCATCTACTCCAAATTGACAGTAAGTCCACAGCACACAAGCATCTGATATATTTTTTGTGTATTTTGAGGGCCTTTTGTAAATAATTGGTTAAAATATTACTCTATTGACCATGGAAACTTCCTCCTTTTGCATTAGAGATTTTCTTTCAATATCAAAGTTAATATATGATATTCTATGTGGTTTTAGAACTCTAAAGTGATTAGGATTAATTTTCGCCCTTGAGTCACTGAATTTAGTACCTCAATTTTCTAACCACGCATTAGATTCTAGAGTTGGATTTCTGTATCCCTGAGTTTCGCATCTGTAGATTCAACCAACTGTGGATTGAAAATATTTGGGAAAAAAATACAAAATAACAATACGACAATAAAAAATAATAAAAATAAAAACCAAAACAGTACATCAATTATTTACCTGGCATTTACATTGTATTAGGTATTATAAGTAATCTACAGATGATTTAAAGTATATGGGAGGATGTGCGTAGGTTTTATGCGAATTCTATGCCATTTTATATCAGGGACTTGAGCATCTTTGGATTTTGGTATCTTTGAGGGGGTCCTGGAACCAATCTCCTGAGGATAACAAAGAACAACTGTAGTTTCTAGGTAAAATAGGGTCCAATTTATTATCACCAATGTTGACACTGGTTACTCTAATTGAGCAAGTGAGCAGCTGTTGTATTACTATCAGGAGAGAAATCTGTAAACTGTTAGAATATTGAATTTGTGATAAAGTGTCCTTGACTCCACTTTAAGGGTGATAATTTAATTAGCAGCAGCAGTGGGGCTTCTCTACAGAGATGACTAGTTTAGAAAAGGAAAGGGTAGACCACGACCTTGAAAAGCAAGGCATTTTTTACAAAATAGGCTGCATGACTAGCTCAGTCATTACATCTCTGAAAAGGGCAGGCTTCTCTAACTACCTATCTACTCTGTGACTTTTCTTTCAAATTGATGTCTGAGACTTCCTTGATTTAAATAAAATCACCATAATAAAAAAAAGATGTTATGTTTTCTATAAAAAATGGGAACTAGTGTTTCAGGTTCCTTTTTCCTGTCTCTAAGCTGTTAGTGGAGAGAAATTCCTTTTAAAGCCCAGTTTTAATGCAAAGAAATGATTGCATCTTAACTAGCAGGCTGGTATGTTATTAGCTCGTTTAAATGTAGAATCTGTTATTCGAAGGTATTGTGTTTCTTTTTAGTGCTTTTTGCCCCAACATACTATTTTAATAAAAATATATTTTCTTGCCACTTAATTAGGCAGCAATACCATAGCAATGCTGGTTAATGAACTGCTTAATCTTTTACAATGTGAATTCATGCATTTTGGAACTTGATGTTAACAAATAATTTTTTTTTAAATTAATTTTAAAGATGCCCCTTTGGTGCCTCTTTGAATCATTCTAGATTATGGTAAATAGAAGTAGGTGAAAAGGTGACTTTCTCTATGCTTTTCATTATTTTTATGAGCCTAATCATACATATTATAATCTTTAAGATTATTCTTAGTGTGGTACTTTATCTTACTCTATTTTTTTTTTTTTTGCACTTGGGAGCTTCCTCTACTTTTAATCCTCCCACCCACAAATGTCTGGTTATTTCTGTCTCCTTTCTTCAGGTTCTATCTGTATTAGTTTTGTCTTTATGAGACAAAGGGATTCACACTCAAAGAATATTGGAAGAAAGATCTGGTTCTCTTTTATGCAATGATGTTTTTATGAGAATAGTACTCTATTATCTAAAATAGTGTTAAGGAGCCATCTTTATGCAAATAATTTTTAGTGCCTAGCTAGGACTCTGAGAGTTTACCATTGATTAAAAATCAATTTCCGTGTATACCACACTCGAAAACAGGTGATTCTGTAAACATTCTACATGTGAATTGAATCTATTAGTATGTTAGCCAATGCTTTGTTTTTATTAACTCTTTCCATAGGTGCACGTAGAAAAGGCTTATGTGTCAAAGGTTCCTTCTTTTTCTAACCCATATTTTATAGCCCTTTTCTGTTTTTAAGACATGTAAATTTTCCTGAAATACCCTTTATAATTTAATAACTTTAGGAAGAGGCGATAGGGAACATGGAGTTAAAAGTGGAGTGAGGAGTTATCCCAACTCCTTGAAGTCATTAGTAAGCGAGGTGAATGAATTGCTATAGTAAATGCAGCTGTACCTGGTTGGCAGCTAAGGTTATTGTCTTCACTTTCTATAATCATTTTAGGACTTGCTCAGTGCTGTAGAAGCAAAAGAAGCTCTTGAAAAGGAAGTTAAGATCTTCCAAGAAAGGCTGCTTGCTGGCCAGCGGGTCTGGGATGCCTCCAAGCAGGAGCTGAGCCTGCTGAAGAATAGCTCTGAAGAATTGGAGAAGAGTTCGAAGGCCAATCTGGATGCAGCCACAGTCTCGCGAAGCCAGTACTCCTCATTCAGGGAGAAGATCGCAGCCCTCCTCAGGGACAGATTGGGCATGACTGGGTCCACAGAGGATGCCATTTTGGAGAGGATTCGAGAAATGGGCAGCCAGGAAGAAAGCAGGGACAGGGTGAGTGGGTGGTGGCTGCTTCTGCAGAACGGTGAGCTCTTTCATTTACCATACTCAACACAAGATTTAGCTGAATTACTGAAAAGCATAATTTAAATGTGGTTGTATTACTTTCAATTTCAAAGGTATTTAGAAGGGCCTTAGAGTCCCTCAAGCCACAGCTAACTTCGATGTGGGTTCTGGAGTCAGAACTCCCAGGCACTGAATCCTACATCCAGTGCACATTCATTGACGGGCAGCGAGAGCTTGGCCAGGTCCCTGAGATTATGGCCTCTGAGATTTTGTTTCCTCATCGGCTGGAAGGGGCTGGCACAGGGTTCACAACCCCTTACCTGAAACCCTTGGGGCCCAATGTGTTTTTGAATTCAGAATTTTTCAGGCTTTGGAAAGGTAAGACGGTATACAGAAGGGTAAGTCAGAAAGCACCTTACACAGTCCTCCGTGGTGGTGTCTGGGACACGCTCCATCACTGGCCACATTCAGAGTTCTGCAGCAAGGCTGTGAGCAACTCTAAGTGGGATAAATGAAGACTATAGATAGCCTCATGTCACTTTGGGTCAGGGTTTGCTGCCCAGATGGGTCAGGTCAGGCCAAGCTTTGTCAGTAAATGAGTTACAAAAAAACTGGATTTTGGACTCGTGGATAAAGATTCCTAGAGCTGTAGCAGGATCTGCTTTGTGAGGTTATTGTTTACTGTAAGCATTAAATGGAAAAAAATTGTTATAAAGACCTTAACACATTGTCTGGCAAATCACAATAAATATTAACTATTGCTCTTGTTGCCTCTTCCCCCTTCCTTGCCTCCTTCTCTCGTCTTTTTCATAAGTGTATTGATGCCTAGAACAGTCTTTTAGGGGACCTGTCGGATAAATGGAGAAAAATGGTTTAATTCGCATATCTGATTGAAGCCGGTTTAATTTTGTCGTGTTGTTTATACTATCAATAATTCTTATTTTCTGAAAAGCTTTACTTAGCAACATCAACTTCAGGCCAAACTCTGTTTAAATTATTATCAAATCCAAATTGTTGAAATCCTAATTAATGAGATTTTAAGGTAAATGGTATCCAAAGTTCATGTATAATTCCATTACGAACTATTTCTTCTACTGATGTCATGCTTGTTCAAAAGGAGAAAAAGCACATTCCATCTTTTAATGTGACTAAAAAAGTCAGAGTGATCGCCAACTCAAAGTTCAGGGTTGCATTTGTAAATTTCCTTTCACAATCAAAAAATTTAAAATTCACTTTAAAAATTCTCCAGAATTCACACATGCTCTAGGACCAGCCCTAGTGGCCCCTTTGGACAAGTGCAGGGTTCTCTTTCTGGCTATAAAATGTGCACGCACAGAGCACGCATGGGCTCACCTCCACGCTATGACATGTAAGGGTCTCTGAGAGTAACCCGGGTTTTTTTTGTGGCTCAGTGTATATAGAGATATTTGCTGAGGAAGGAAATTTTTTATAGGTTTGAAAAAAACTTCATTATTTACCTCGAATGGTAATAGATACATAGATGATCTTCAACTTACAGTGGTTCGATTTAGGATTTTTCTGCTTTGCGATGGTCTAAAAGTGACATGCATTCCACAGAGACAGTACCTCGAGTACCCACACAGCCATTCTGTTTTTCACTTTCAGTATGGTATTCAATAAATTACATGAGATATTCAACACTTTATTATAAAATAGGCTTTGTGTTAGGTGATTTTGCCCAACTGTAGGCTAATGTAAGTGCTCTGAGCATGTTTAAGGTAGGCTAGCTAAGCTATGATGTTCTGTCGGTTAGATGTATCAAGTGCATTTTTGACTTACGATATTTTCATTTTACAATGCGTTTATCGGGACATAACTCCATCCTAAGTCAAGGAGCACCTGTACTTCAGTCGCTGATGGTTTTTTGCCATTTCATTTTATTGCTTTCTCTTCTCTATTTCCAAGTATTTTCCTAAAACTATTTTAATTCCAGTGTGTGGTGCGTGGCACAATTGTCAGCATGATGTATATGTTTATTTTCTAAAGCCAAATGATGTAAATTGGTTAAGCTGGATATGCCTTCCCCCACTCCCTATAAAAATTAGAATGATTCAGAGTCTTTTTAGTGCCTTTGTCTGCCTTTCTCACCCTGTAATTTTTTTCAATAGCTGCTCTCCCTGTTTAAAAGCCTGAAATCAAGCATATAGCTGGTGTCTTGTGTGACTCATCTTCAAGTAAAATCAGGAGAAAATGGATTTCATATATTGTCTCAGAAATGTTTCTAAAGAATGGGAGCTTTACAAATTGATGAATCTTGTTTGTTGAGGAGGCCGCATGTCCCTGCCAGCTGCCATGGCTACATGCACAGTCAATGGTTGCGTAATGCCAACGTGAAGGCCCAGCAGTGGGTTTAGACTTGGCTGGCAAATGCTTCACTTCATGCTGACTCCTATTGACTGAAGGTTGCTTTTCTCGTTTACCCCTTTGCTATCCATTTTTCTTCTCCTGTGTTTGCAATTCTCAATGGAATTTGGGACACCACCCACACTCTTCCAGCAAGTCATTTCTATTTGTTCCTTACATTTCAGCTTCTGGGAAAATTTAATCTTCTTTTTAAAAGCTTTACTATATCTTAGAGCAGGGTTTCTCAGTGCTATTGACATTTTGGACTGGATAATATTTTGTTGTAGGTGCTGTCCTGTGCATTGTAGGATGTTCAGCAGCATCTCTGGCCTCTACCCACTAGATAGCAGTAGCACTTTCCCTGTCCCCAGTTTGCGACAATCGCAGATGTCTCTGGACATTGCTAAATGTCCTCTAGGGGTCAAAATTGCCCTCAGTTGAAAACCACTGTCTTAGAGGAATGTCCTAATGCTGGGTTCCCAGGAGTTCTAAATGAGTATTTGAATGTTATTTAGTCTTGAAATTTCAGGACACCATAGGAGAGGCTTATGAAATAATGAGTTCTTGCACAATGGCAGAATATTGCAACATTTTCAGATTTTACTTTAGAATTTTGAGGCAATTTTTTTCTTTTAGTAAGAAAAGGGGTAAACAAGAAAAGCAACCTTCCATCAGTAGGAGTCTGCATGAAGTGGAGCATTTGCCAGCCAAGTCTAAACCCACTGCTGGGCCTTCACGTTGGCATTACGCAACCGTTGACTGTGCATGTAGCCGCGGCAGCTGGCAGGGACATGCGGCCTCCTCAACAAACAGATTCATCAATTTGTAAAGCTCCCATTCTTTAGAAACATTTGTGAGACAATATATGAAATCCATTTTTTCCTGATTTTACTTGAAGTAACTGGCTGATCATCTCAATGAGAATTGATCATGTATAGAGAGAATGTGACCATGACCAATTTCTACGTCATTTCCTAAATTAAAGACAAGTGAATACAAGCTCACACACCTCTATCTGGATAGTATTTCTGTTCTGCTGTAGGCACATTTAGACCTTTATTTCCTCCCCTGGTGTTTCCTAGTCCAGGGGCTCTGTAGGAGCTGTGGGGACCTGGCCCGATGCTGTGAAGAGCCTGAGATGTGCTCCACAACCCCTCTATAGCTCGTCTTAGCTCAGAGCCTGAACGTCGTCCTTCCACTCTGCTCTCAGTCCCACCACTGACCAAAGCAAGTATCTCCCCAGAAATCCCAGCAGACTTCCACTGGCATTTCATTGTTCAGAATCATGTTACACGGTTACCCCTGGCTACAAGAGTATCTGGGAGCGTGAACAGATAGAGGTCTTAGCTTTCCTGGCCTTTCCGTTTGTATTGGTTTCCTAGGGCTTCCGCAACAAAGTGCCGTAAACTAGGTAGATTAAACAACAGACATTTCTTGTCTCCTGGTTCTCACAAATTAGAAATCTGAAATCAAGGTGTTGACGGTGTTAGTTCCTTCTGAGGGGCTGCGAGGGAGAACCTGTTCCATGCCTCACTCCTGGCTTTGGCAGCCTCAGGCATTCCTTGACTTGTGGATGGCATCCCCCGCTGTCCTCATGTCATCTTCCCTCCATGCATTTCTCTCTTTGTGTACAAATTTTTCACTTTGTAAGGGGACCAGTCCTAATGAATTAGGGACCATCTTAAAGACCTCATTTTTATTCTGCTACTGCTGTAAAGACCCTATTTCCAAATAAGGTCACATTTTGAGGTACTGGGGAGATTTAACATATTTTTGGAGGGGACCCAATTCAAACTAAAACAGAAGTTGACATGAACAACGGAGGAAGGGGTGAGGGTTGGCCAGTCAACAATGTTGGCTATAAATACAAGAAGGAAGAAGAATTTGGTTGATGCTAAGTTTATAGAAACTGGTAACTTACTTTATATATTTTCTAAGTGAAAATTATAGCTTGAATAGTTGGAAAAGAGTCCATTTAGGAAATGATGCAATCACTTATTGTCCGAAAAGCACTGGACCTTAAGTGACCCAAGTGGCTCTTTCTTCAGTGCAGAGCTCTTTTGCTTTTATTTGGTTTAATCTTAGGGCAAAAATGTCTCTCTGGTGAAATCAACAAATACCTGTCCTTGGGGAGTGAATTCACTCCTTTAGGGCATTGTGACTTCGCTTCTAAAAGTCGTGCTGCTTGTTCTTCAAGTGTAGTTTAGTTTAGTGCCCTTTCTGTTATAAAATTGAGGTATATATTCTTTATTATTAATACTTCCTCCCACCCCATTCCCTATATCTCTAGTATTAAAATTCCCGGCACATTTTGTCCCACAGAATATCAGGTATATGTTAACAGATGACACTAAGAAAAAGGAAAAGAAAAAAAAAAGAAAAGAAAATAAAAGCTTATTTATTTCTTAGACTTTCTGTGAAAAACAACACAAGTTCACAATTTTGGTGGAACACATGTGTTCACCTAGGCACTGACATTTGATGTTCTCGAGAATTGAGTCAGATTGGAATATTACTTTATTGGAATAAATGTATGTAAATTTAGTTCTGAAAAAACTCAGTGGTGTCATGTGCCCTCATACCTACATAAGCGTATGAGACTAAGTTCTCTGACATGGTAGAGT